CCTGTCCATCTCCCCCACTGCCCTCACCTGTCCATCTACCCCCCCCCCCTCACCTGTCCATCTCCCCCACTGCCCTCACCTGTCCATCTACCCCCCCCCCCTCACCTGTCCATCTCCCCCACTGCCCTCACCTGTCCATCTACCCCCCCCCCCTCACCTGTCCATCTCCCCCACTGCCCTCACCTGTCCATCTACCCCCCCCCCCTCACCTGTCCATCTCCCCCACTGCCCTCACCTGTCCATCTACCCCCCCCCCCTCACCTGTCCATCTCCCCCACTGCCCTCACCTGTCCATCTACCCCCCCCCCCTCACCTGTCCATCTCCCCCACTGCCCTCACCTGTCCATCTACCCCCCCCCCCTCACCTGTCCATCTCCCCCACTGCCCTCACCTGTCCATCTACCCCCCCCCCCTCACCTGTCCATCTCCCCCACTGCCCTCACCTGTCCATCTACCCCCCCCCCCTCACCTGTCCATCTCCCCCACTGCCCTCACCTGTCCATCTACCCCCCCCCCCTCACCTGTCCATCTCCCCCACTGCCCTCACCTGTCCATCTACCCCCCCCCCCTCACCTGTCCATCTCCCCCACTGCCCTCACCTGTCCATCTACCCCCCCCCCCTCACCTGTCCATCTCCCCCACTGCCCTCACCTGTCCATCTACCCCCCCCCCCTCACCTGTCCATCTCCCCCACTGCCCTCACCTGTCCATCTACCCCCCCCCCCTCACCTGTCCATCTCCCCCACTGCCCTCACCTGTCCATCTACCCCCCCCCCCTCACCTGTCCATCTCCCCCACTGCCCTCACCTGTCCATCTACCCCCCCCCCCTCACCTGTCCATCTCCCCCACTGCCCTCACCTGTCCATCTACCCCCCCCCCCTCACCTGTCCATCTCCCCCACTGCCCTCACCTGTCCATCTACCCCCCCCCCCTCACCTGTCCATCTCCCCCACTGCCCTCACCTGTCCATCTACCCCCCCCCCCTCACCTGTCCATCTCCCCCACTGCCCTCACCTGTCCATCTACCCCCCCCCCCTCACCTGTCCATCTCCCCCACTGCCCTCACCTGTCCATCTACCCCCCCCCCCTCACCTGTCCATCTCCCCCACTGCCCTCACCTGTCCATCTACCCCCCCCCCCTCACCTGTCCATCTCCCCCACTGCCCTCACCTGTCCATCTACCCCCCCCCCCTCACCTGTCCATCTCCCCCACTGCCCTCACCTGTCCATCTACCCCCCCCCCCTCACCTGTCCATCTCCCCCACTGCCCTCACCTGTCCATCTACCCCCCCCCCCTCACCTGTCCATCTCCCCCACTGCCCTCACCTGTCCATCTACCCCCCCCCCCTCACCTGTCCATCTATCCTGCTGCCCCTCCCCGGTCCATCTACCCCACAGCCCTTACCTGTCCATCCACTCCACTTCACTCACCTGCCCTTCTACCCCACTGCCCTCACCTGTCCATCTACCCCACTGCCCTGACCTATCCATCTACCACACTGCCCCTTACCTGTCCATCTACCCCACTGTCCTCACCTGTCCATCTATCCCACTGCCCTCACTTGTCCATCTACCCCATTCCCTTTACCTGTCCATCTACCCCACTCCCATCACCTGTCCATCTACCCCACACCCATCACCTGTCCATCTACCCCATTGCCCTCACTTGTCCATCTACCCCATTCCCTTTACCTGTCCATCTACCCCACTCCCATCACCTGTCCATCTACCCCACACCCATCACCTGTCCATCTACCCCACTGCCCTGACCTGTTCATCTACCCCACTGCTCCTCACATGTCCATCTACCCCACTGCCCCTTGTCTGTCCATCTACCCCACTGCCCTCATCTGTCCATTTAACCCACTGCCCCTCACCTGTCCATCTACCCCACTGCCCCTCACCTGTCCCTCTACCCACCTGCCCCTCACCTATCCATCTACCCCACTGCCCCTCACCTGTCCATCTACCCCACTGCCCCTCACCTGTCCATCTACACCTTCATATCCTTCCTTTATCATACTCCTCTCTCATACATGCTCCCCATACTCCTCTCTCATACATGCTCCCCTTTCACAATTCGTGTCTGGGAGCTCCAAACCCGTCTCTTCAGTTATATACCCGACCCTCATACTACTCAGACCAAAGCTGACCATATACCCCCCAATCCCACCCAATACAACATCTGCGAGCCGGCTGCCTATGGGGGAAAATGATCACTTCTGACATTGTTTTCACCAATTCAGCCAACCAAATACAAAGGGTGACATTTGGTGGGTACAATGGAATTCCCAACAGGTATAAAGGTTCGGGGGGATTCTGACACGGAAACATCTAATAGCTGTGTGTGTGTGTGTGTGGGGGGGGGGGGGGAGAGGTGGTGCTC